TCATGTGGAAGGCAAATAAACTTTGCAGATAATACAACTTTAAGGCATGACAATGATTGATGTATGCTTATTCGTGCCCGTCCATCTGAATAGAATACTTTTCTTTCCAAATTTTAGTTTGTTTTTTATTAACTTTATTGGAACTATCAAAATAATCTGAAATGTCCAAGTAGATCAGTATCCAATTACACTAGTAATTTCCACTCGCCGACATTCTTATTGAATGTAATCTGATTGTACGTCTGAAAAGCTCAGGTTTAAATTCTTCAGTTACAACACACCCCAATGAGACACTTTTTTCACTTACATCTGAGCCAGACACCAAGATTAAGTGAACTGTTATGATACAATGATAATTTATTCAAGTTTTTGCACAAAGTGATCATGGCAACAAGACATGAAATTGTTATCGATGACATCGACATACACGATAACTACAATACCGTTAAAAACCTTTATTATCATTGCAGGAAAAGTAATAAAAGAGACAAAGTGTACAAATAAACTCAAACTTGGTCCAGCTGACAAGAATTGATGTAAAATACATTGAAATATATGTCAATTGTCCATGCAATCCTTTTGCATGAACAACCCAACTTTACCAAACCAAAGTAGCAGGCAGATTACCAGGAAAATTGTTTCACAAGAAAACATTAATATTCAATCTAATTATGCAAAAATAAAATATTAATAGTAAATTTTTTATTGTTAACCTCATGATTTTTTTTGCAATGTGAATATTTATAACAAGATCAGTTAAGAAACTACCTGCTTTCACTCAATATACCCGGTATTGTAAATTACGAAAGACAAATTTTTGTAGCAGTAAGACGATAAGATGTGTTCTACGATACAAAGTGTCAGTCACTTAGATGAGATTTGTTCTTAATGAATGCCATAAAATCATGAACATATTTCAGCAGTGAAAATTTAATGATTCACTACCTTCAGCACATTAAATGGCATGGCTTGCATACATTAACAAATGCCCTCTTCAAAATGGCAATTCTCTAATCAAGCCAAACTTAAATTACAAGTGCCTGTAATCCCAAATATTTTCTATTTTATAAGCTTAGAATATACCATTATCACTTTTCATAGTTCTTCATATTAAAGTTCACACTCAGACCATTCCTAAAGCTAGATTTGGAATTTATGTGAAATACAGGATGGTCTGAAGGCGCAAAAAGCACAGGGAATGAATGTTCAATATTCAATGATTTTAAGCATCTCCAAATGTTGGCAAATGTTTTTTTTCCCCATTAAGGCAGTTTTTTTTTTCAAATTCAAAATTCAAAGGCATTAGCAGAGGAAAATTTGAATAAACAAGTTGAAGCAAACCAAAGCATTTGAACATGCAGATAAGCATTCAATATACATTTCCCCCAGTTTGCACATATTCAGACTACTGTTATACTTTATTTTCTCTTGGAATCAATTTTCGCTGAAAAAATAATTCAGTGAAAATAAAATCAAGCGAATATACCATTTTTTCTATATTTTACATTCAACTCGTCAAAAATAAGTGAAAATAAATTCCATACAAAACACCTAAAAAATCTCTTCAGCGAAAATTAATACCAGCTAAAATAAAGTATTTTACAGTATCAAATATTTTTTTATAATAGTACCAATAAAGCTCTTTGAGAGAATTTTTGTACTCTACTTGTATTAAGGGAACAGGTTTTATATGTACAAACTCAACTTAACACTGGGACACTAATGAAAAGGATTCAGCCAAATTATGTTGAGCAGAGAATATTCTGTACAGGGGAACACATTAAGTAATACAAGTTAATAATCAGGGTTTGTTTACAGTTTCATAGTAGTAGAGGACATTCATTCATTTATTTATTCATTCCTTCCTTCCTTCCTTCATTCATTTATGGTGGATCAAACATCCCAGTTTGTGAAACCAGATCCCTGTGACATTAAACTGCTGCAGAAGATAGCAGACCAACAAACTAATTCTATATCAGATTTTCTCCTTCAGAAGCCAAAGTGAATGAAAAATGATATTAATCCATAAATTAAATCCCAAAACGTTTTCACAAGAAATTATCAGATATACTTTTGAAGCTAGAGCTTATAAACTGATAATTTTAATGTTCAATGATAGAAATCACACACTTACGATTTCTAGTGTTAAGAATGATATCATACTTACTGGGAAACACCACCTCATAACACAGGTCTGATTAGTGTGTTTATGTCCTCTAGTAGTGGGCTTCTCATGACCCACCACGACAGTATATGGACCAATATACATGTAACAAGAGAACATTTTTATGAACATTTTTTAAATTTCCCAGATACTGAGACTTTCGACATGTACGTATGACATCATTAATAACATCACAAGAGTATGCACAGGGTATGCTTTCTTTTCTTTTTCTTCTTCAGAAACATGAAGAATTGAATATATGATTTTAGTTTCTTTTTCAGGGACATATGCCGTGTAAGATGGAGGAGTCTCTGTAGCATTACTATTGGTAACAATTACTCATTTCCTGCATAATGAGGATGCCACCAATGCAGTACTTTAGCATTTATAACTGGATCCAACGTGACTGTAACTCCATTATTTTTACTGTACGAGCCTTTCTCTCGTAATGTGTGAAAAACTAATTTAAGATTAAAGAACCTCATATCTCTGCTCACATTGAGGTAGACTTTAGTCAGTATCATTCCCATGATGGCTGGAACACGGATAAAATGACTACAGACCACACTCAAGATGCAGCAGTTTTCCTCACTGTTGGCCCACAAATGATCGTAGTTGACGCCAAGATCTGAAAACTTCTGGTTTTTCAGAGATGGCATTTGAAATTTGAAGGAAAAGTTCCATGTCTTGTTGGTTTGATGTTTGTGGGAGACCCACATGTACAGGCACTTGGAGTGTTCTAAGCTGTGGGGGGTCTCTGAATCTAACGGCACGGTGCTTCGGGTACGGCTCCTGTACGGTGGATACGTGAAAAACAGTGACCGTATCACGCAAGCCCTCAGCTTAAATATCTTCTGCATTGCATTCGGTTTCAGAGAGACTGGCAGTTCATCATGCGTGGCACAAAACCTGAATTGCAGAAATACAATAGCAAATTAAACACAATCAAAATACAAAGTTAAGGATGTAACTGACAATAAGGAAAGAAAATTGTAATCTATGGCAAAACAGCCAAATTTGTTTCTTCCACTGCAATTCGGTACCATTGATATCTTGAACTGGCCTGCACAAAAACAAATTTACATTCCGCCGCCAATGACGAGAAGCACACAATCAACTTTTATGTTGTGGACCGCCATTTTAGAATATACAACACAAACCTAACTACAGAGGGCATGCTACACAGACATAATATAGAATTACTTGTACACTAGTGTTTTTAGTGTTGTTTGATCGCAATCAAAATAAGCCGTTGTAGGGCCAGTGTGAATGCTGGTGTTCTCTCTATTTCTACAATGATGTATTTCTAATCTATGTGAACCAGGTAATAGTTCTAAAAAAAAACACAGTTTGTTCTAGATAGTTCCAGAACTACATAAAATTTGTTCTAAAACTCTTCATAGAATTCACCTGGACATTTCTCATGATGAAAGTTGAAGTGTAATTTCCTCCTCAATTTTGGTAATACCCAGCAATAAACCAGATTCTAAGCCAACAGCTCTTGGTGTTGTGAATTCTCTATTATTAAGCTGTGGTGACTACTTTAAGAGTATAAGATCTACTACTTTGCTCATTTACTTGGTAAACCATGAATATACTATGTATACGCAGTAAAGAGTATACTGTACCTATGATAAAGGCGAGACCAGAATTGAGTTGTACTCGTTACATAGTATGAAGCCTTGCAAATACTGGCAAATCTACCCACATCTTCTGGTCGGATGTAATTGGACACCAGAAACCAGACGTCTATGGGATACTCACAACCTTTGATAATATTGTCTGAAGTACCGATAATGCTGGTTGTCTTCTTTTGTCTTTGTGTACCTGTGATAGAAAGCAGGACTAGAATGTAAATACACATAAAATATCCTGTAAAAGGTTCAATTTTCATTGTGATTAAGTTTTCTATGACTTTAATACACAAAAACAATCAAGAGAGTTCATATAATGAACCAGAGTGAGCTGAGATTAAAACATGGGTGGGCATACTAGAGATAACAAAATATTAATAATAATAAGCCTATACATACTGTAGTAAGTTGTTGAGATCACTGGCAATAACAAAACATTAAATAGAAGAATGTGTCGCAACTTCCAATGGAATCAAAAGAATGAACCTTCCACTTCCCACCACCCTTCCCCAGCCCAGAATAAGGCAGAAATTAATAAAAAATAAACAAATTAAAAATTGTATTGGTTAAATTTGAAGTTGCTGTACTTGACCAACTTAGCGCCCATGCTTGGCCAAGCACCCCCCACCCCCCACTTTTGGGTCATTTCTAATTTCTGGTTTTTGATCATTGTTTGACTTTTCCCAAATATAGGTAATTGTATTTATATAATACAGCATGGTTATCGAAAGATGTGAATAACATATGAATACGTAAAAATGGTAACCGTAGATGAACTACACTAATGACCTGTTAACAAATGATGGTAAATACTTCATTCCATATTTAGTTTATTTACCTTTAAAAAATTGCTAATTACCAGTTTTAAAAAAAAATCATTTTTTTGGCTGAAATCAGTTCCAACAGATCATACTTTGACATCGATAATTCACTTTTGCATATCATTAGCAAGAATGCCCTTGGAAATTCCCAAAGAAATGCAATGGTACAATACAGCATTCTGATTATTAGTATAACAAGTCAAAGGCCGTTGTTGCAGGTCATATCGTGTAAGAAAACATCCTGGCAGAAAATGTTTTTCATCAAGAGTTTGCGTAGAATCAAACGCATTCGTCAATGGAGTTGAATATTTTGACTTTGACTGTGTTCCAACAGACTCTAATAATTTTAATCTCGTAAATTCTGGTGGTACTTAATTAATATTGTAATAAAATGTGCATATTTTTGTGACCATTTCTGTTTCATTGTAAAAGTATTGGTGAAATCAAATGACCGACGGAACTAATTTCCGCAATTTAATTTTTCCCTGGGCGCTAAGTCAGTCGAATATGGTAATTGGTTAATCATTGAAGAATTCAATAATATACCTATATAATGATTC